ATTACAACTATTATCCTTTCAAATACAACTAAGATTATTAATTATCTCATTTTCTTTACACTTCTATCATTCTTTGAATATATCTTCACATTTTCTCCTTTATCCTTTCAAATACAACTAATATTATTCATTATTTCATTCTTTAGCTTTTCTCTCACACTTTACCTGTATCTTCTCATTTTCTTCCTTATCCTTTCAAATACAACTAATATAATTCTTCCTCTCATTCCTTAGCGTTTCTCTCACACTTTGTATCCTGTCATTCTCTTCCTTTTTTTTTCTAATAGTATTCATTATTTCATGCCTTCTCTTACACTTTATTTATATCTGATCTTTCTCTTCTTTATCCCTTCTAAAGCAATTAATATCATCCATTATCCATTTCTCTGCCTTCTCCCAAACTTTGCCTGTATCTTCTCATTCTCTCCCTTATCCCTTTAAATAAAACTAAGATTATCCATTATCTCATGTATCTGCTGTTCTCATTTTTTGCCTGTATCTTCTCATTCTCTCCCTTATCCTTCCCAATACAATATAATTCATTATGCTTATATCTTCTCATTATCTCTCTTATCCCTCCCAATACAACAAATATTGTTCATTATCTCATGCCTCTGCTCTTTTTTTTCATCCTTTGCCTGTATCTTCTCATTTTCTTCCTTTTCCTTTCCAGTACAATTGTATAGTACTGGAATTACTTTTTTTGGTGTTGATAGCCAACCAGCTTCAGTGCTCCAGTCCAGATTTTCTGCCTTGATTTACTTTTATAGTCTTTTCCATTGTTGGATATGGCTACAAGGCAGTGGAGATTTAAAACCAGGGTATTCATTCACCTAGATGGACTTCCTTCCTGGACTGACAAGCTCCATCTACCCAAAAGTGTAAATATGGAAACAAGTAAAACAATAATACACATATTCTTTTTTTTTAATGAAATTTGGTATTTCTACATATTTTCTTGTTGTTTTGGAAATTCTTCCTTCTTTTATTTGTCATCTTTCTGTCATTTCTGACATCCTTTCTTAATTCTAACTACATTGTTCAAATTGCCAACCAGATATAGTCACCTGATACTTTTGGGGCTACCTATACTGCAAAGTCATTCATGGAAAGTGATATATAAATTCCAGACAGTGGGTGTGGATAAAACTGGCCACATCAGTTACTGCTATGCTTTAGTAATCAATGACTTTTATTTTTTTGTAAAATACCAGGAAAAAATACTCTACTTGTTTAACCTGTTAATGTGTGGCACAAAAAGATCTTTCCACCATTGAGGAAATGTAGCATTTTTTTAATCAATCCAAGCAATGCAATAATGCCACTAAAACGTAAGGCCTACTGGGAGTAAAAGTGAATGAAAAAGACTTTAGAAGGAACTAGAAACCCAATCCTAATCAGAAAACAGGGGATTAACCTCTACTCCTGTTCAAAATGGCGTGTGAGCTAGATGATAGGCAAACCTACTTACTCTTATTAAAGAAAAATAAATAAATAATATTTCAAAGTTTAGGCAGAGAAGCTAGGTTTATTGTGTTGAAATAGATTTAGAAGGAACTAAAAAAACAATCCTAAACAACAAACCTCTACTCCTGTTTAAAAGACCAGGAAGGAGTGTAAAGCAGACAAAAATAGTATCTGCTTATTTTAATTCAATAAAGTATTTGTGTAAGGTTAATATTAATGCTAATTTATTTTTTAAAAATTAAAACAATACACTTACAAATCCAAACTCAAAATTATTTTTTTTATTTTGAAAATATTCCTTTTTCTTAATTTATTCATGTTAAATTTAAATTAAATATTAAAAAAAATAAATGAGGGATCAAAAAACTAATTTCAAGATAAAAATGCAAATACTTCCAAATATTTCCACAAAAAATATTGAACAATTTCATAAAAATTATGCAAAAATGTCATCCTGTTGCTTATAAACAAAAGATTAAAGAAAACACTAAGAGAATCATTGTAATATAACAAGATATAAATTGATACAATATAAATTACTATTGCAATATTTTTACATTATGAAGTAATACTAAAACATATGACATCTTAGCAGAAATAAATGTTTTATTAATATCCTTTCCAAGTTCCAAAAACACTAAATGTATCAATCTAAAAAAGTAACATTATTGACCCACAAAATTTGTATGGCAAGGACCCCAATATGGAAACATTTCAAAACCTCATCTTTGCTTTATAATTGATGCTATTTTTATTGCCCAGGTCATTTTACATCCTTCAATGATTATGAATGCTGAAATAACCTCCTAAGATATAAGCTAAAACAAAAATGAATAATAATGAAAATGTTTTACCTCAGAAATTCAGACATCTATTATATCTACAATTATTTCTACGAGTCAAATCACAGTCTTATGAACATTTCTCTTAATAATAATAATAATTTTAAAATAATTCAGCAGATGATGTTATTTTATTTATGGTAACTGGATTTTTGGCGATTGCCTTACTTGGTTTCTATCATTCAATACTGTGAGTCTGAAAAATGTCACTTTTATTAGTCAACATCGCTTCTCAGCATTTTATCTAAGATCAAAGTGTACTATCTATTCTTATCAACTTAATCTGATTTTCTCTCTCCTTATCTCTCTCCACTTCTATCTTCCATCCTTTCTTGGTAGTAGTGTCTTTTTGCCTCTTTCCATTCAGTCAAAAAAGAACATTCCATTATTTATGAGGTATTAGCATTGTGTAACAGTCTTGCAAACTAATGAAGGAAGGGACAAGCACAATTGTAACAGGAAGTGGTGATCATAATCCTGTATTTTAAAATCCCAAATGTTGAAATCCTGAAATTTAAAATCACAAAATTTGAGATCCCAAATTTATAAATTCCTGAAATATCAGAATCCCAAAATTTAAAATCCTGAAAGATCAGAATCTCGAAAAATAGTGTTTGGGATAAATTGAAAAAAAAAAAAATGAAATAACTTTATTTCTACACATTTACAAAATAGCATTTAAATAGTGTTTATACATTTGAAATATTCAAAATTCATTAAAAAATATAGAACCAAAATATAGCATAAACAATGGGAAAATTTCATAGGCAATACTCGCCAGTGTTTATTGCATTATTAGAGAGTTTTAAAAAGAGCAGCAGCACATAGAAAATGAATGTGAATGCCTTTTCCAGAGACAGTCTTGTTCAAAAAGAAAAAAAAATGTGTTTTCTCATGATGAAAGGCTTAAAAATATTGTTAACAATCATGAAATCTGACCAGATCTTATGGATTATCTCTGGACTCTTGCTCATAATCTTTCATTATAAATTATTCATATATTCCAATTTTATATTTTTTAATGAATTTTAAATGTTTCAAATGTTTATACACTATTTAAATGGTATTTTGTAAATGTTTAGAAATAAAGGTATTTCCAAAATTTTTTTGTTTAATTTCTCCCAAAGACTATTTTTCAGGATTTTGGTCTTTCAGAATCTTAAATTTCAAGAAGTGTACAATGGACAAAATGTTGTGAATATCACAATAAAGATGAAGACAACAGTCCAAACAATGTAAATAGTGCAAGTAGTTACAATAACTCATTTCAGAAATATAGACAGATCTTGGCAAAAGCTAGAGTGTATAATGGCCGAAACATTGTGAATATGAAATTATAGATAAGGACAACACTCTGAACAATGTAAATAGTGTAAAGAAAATTTATTTCTTTAAAGAGTAGATTGTATGTTTATTTTTACATTAATTATTTAAAAACTATAAAAAGGATATTTTAACATTTTTAGATTATTAAAATAAAGAGAAAAGGAAAATAAACCAATGTTAGATTCATAAATTTAATATTTTTTAACAGTATGATATTCCTTGAAGCGTTCTATACACAGTGGAGTTGTGCATTCTTTGTACTTAGTTGGCATAATTTCTCACTCTTTTATTATTGAGAAATACACATAGCACTGTCTTTGGTTTCTTTCAGCTTTACTTGCAGGCAAATACTCCAGGAAATGACAATCTCATGAATCCTAAAGTTACCAATTAGTCATTCAGACTTAAATCATGAATGAATGATGCCGGTATCATTGGAAAAAGATTAAATAATCAATTGATGATTCCTGCTATTTACAGGTTAACTAGAACAGCAAAAGCATCAGATAATTTCAATCTCTTGTAGTGGCATTTTTTATTATGTGTTCGGATTAAGTTGGGGGTCACCAGTTTTGTAATGGTATTATAATAGTTACACTTGGCTTTGTATAAGTGATACATGGCAGCCATCATACCACCAACATTAAAAGAAATATGACTAGCAAACATGTCACAATTTATCAGCAGGCAAAAAACATAGCAATAAAATTAGAATGAGACAGAGGAAATATCTATGTGAAATAAACATTAAACTAATTTAGATTTTGGTGATTGACAAGTGTATGCTGTATATAGAATAATAATTATTCATTTATAATATGTATGTATATGTGTATGAGGAATATAGTTATAACTTTCAGAACCTTTAAAATAAGGCTATAAAAAGTTTTGCTGGCAGCATCTTGGTCACAAGTACTATGGAATCTGCAGCAAGTTGAATGTGTGATCTCAGTGAATAAAAAAAATCACCAGTTTTTATAGTCTTTTAGAGGATCCAAAAGGCTTGATGTAAATATTTTTTTATCTTGTTTCTGATAAGTTCATATTTTTTAAACCACATGGTATGTTCTCTACTACATCCATGTCTGAAATTACATAATTTGTAAATTTTTTATGATCTTGAACTGATGTTGACCACCTATAATTTTTTTTCGTATTTACAAGGATCCTTTTTTTTGCACAAAATCTTTCTTTTAATAAAGATGAAGCCTGTTTTTAACTTCAATACTCTGTGCTATGGGTATGGTTTTAAGCAGTAAAAAGAATAACATCTTTCTTTTAGGAAAATGTTTGAAACAATATGTTTTAAAAAATAATAATAATAATAATAATAAAAAAAGGTTTTAAAACTATTTTTTACTTTACCTTTTTTAAGCACTGCACTTTAGCATTTTTCAAAGGTTTTGCAGGTTCAGCACATTTTTCATAATAGATTTCTGAAGCGGCCAACCTGGCTTTTGCCACTTTTTCCAGTTCTTCAAGAATCTGTCGCCAAACAATGATTGCAGTTCTAAAGTGAAAAACAAATTGTTTTAAAACCATGAAAATTCATTTAATAAATTTAAATTCAAAATAAAAAATAGAATTATCTTTGTTAGTACATATACAGTATCTTCTTTCTCCTAAAAAATAATTCACCAATAGCTTATAATTTCTCACTTATGCTTTTAGTTTATTTTATTTTACATGAAAGTAATTTCTTTTTAATAATATGACTCACCATTAATGCTAAAATATCTTTTAAAAAATTACCTATTGAAAAAAATAAATATATAAAATGTTTCATTCATTTTTCAATTATATTTTTTTCTTTGCCTTGTGTATAAGGGCCTTTTTATGTACTTAATCAATAGTTTATATTATTTTGTATTAGTTGGAGAAATGTTAATATAATATTTAGAAGAAAATATAAAAGTTAATATAAAATATAAAAGTTAATATAAAAGTTAATATAATATAAAGTTAATATAAAAATTAATATAATCTTAAGAAGAAATTATAAAAAGAGTTAATCAGGGCTGAAATTTTGCTTAAAACATTTGTATCTGCATCTTTGCTGAAAAAAATTCAAATAAAATTTAATTAAGTGGAAAATTATAAAACCAAATGCATAATTCATGCAATTTTCAACCATTCTTATTTTTTCTGGTTAAAAATGCATTTTTTCTCATACACAGCAAATTGGAATTAAAATGCAAAATCACTCATGTTTTCTTTGATTTCCAAATAATAAATGAAAAAGAAAAATACATATTTTTCAATATTCATTTTGCATACAGATTCTTTTAAGGAACCAGTAGGGATACCCAGCAATGCTCGGAGTATCTCTGAATAATAGTTTATTATTGACAATTTATTGATAATTTTCAGCTAACTTATGAAAAATAAGTGTTTATTCAATCTTTAAAAAATAAACTTCATTGTTTTGGTTTGTTACATAATAACTAAATTTAGAAAAATACTACACTACCATGCTGGTGGTGGTGATGATAGTAGGGGCTTAGTGGGCTGAGAATCCCCATACTTTTATTCAAAAAGATACTTTAATTTAAATAAAATATAGTTAAATTTGTAAAACAAATATTCAACACAACTAATGTTGACTGTAACTCTTGTCTGTCTCTCCTAATTTTTATTCAATCAAAATTTTTTCTTTTCAAATACAAATTTAACTTGAAATTTAAACATAATCATTTTTCAAAAGTAAATTATCAATGTATCTTGCTTCTACTCACTTTCAAAATAGTTAGTAATTAATGCTTAAAAGTAAAAACTTATTAACTTAAAAAAATCTAAATTCCCCTCCAAAATAAATAGTAAATAATTATTTTTTGAAGTAAGGTTTGCTGTAGTTTTTGTTTGAAAGAATGATTAAATTAAATGTTTAAATATATCTTAATTTAAGTTTATTTACTTTTTTACTGAAAATAATTTCCACCAAAATAAATAGTAAAGAATTATTTTTTGAAGAAGTAATACTCGCTATAGTTTTTGCTTTAAAAAATGATTAAATTAAATATGTTTAAATATATTTTAATTTAAGTTTATTTACTTTATTTAGATATTTTTCAGTAAATAAAGTTTTACTTTTAAACATTACATTAAAGAAGCAAACATTTTTCATGAATTAATTTAATTACTAACTATTTTGAAAGAGAATAGAAGCAAGATACATTGATAATTTAGTTTTGAAAAGCAATTATGCTTAAATTTCAAGCTATAATTGTATTTGGGAAGAAAAAAAAAACTTTAGTTAAATAAAAATTAGGAGTAATGGTCAATATTAGTCATATTGAATATTTGTTTTACAAATATAACTATATTTTATTTAAATTAATTTTCAAAAAAATAAGGCTCACTATATTTTTTTGATTTAATAAAACTTAACTTAAAATTATTTACTTTTTATGTTAATTACAAACCAAAAAAACAATGAAGTTTATTTTTTAAAGATTGAATAAAAAAATAATTTTCCACAAGATGGCTGAAAAATATTAATAAGTCAATAATACACACACACACACACACACACACACACACACAACTGCCCTCTAGGGTGATACTGAGTCTGTATATATATTATTTTGTCATTAATTATTGTAGATTTTTAGTTTTAGTTGGGAAAACACACACTTGAATATTTGAAAAAAATATTAAACTTTTTTCAAATTGTTGTATTTAATATTCTTCTTTTAAATTTACTTTGTTGTTCTAATATTAATTTATTCAAAGTTACGCTTTTATTTACTGTAGATGTGAAAATAAATTCAAGAGAATAGAAATTTAAAAATATATGTGTATAGCATTTCGAAAGTATCAGCAAAAATTAAAAAGTAAAAATGAATAGTAATAATAATCAGGAATAAGAATTATTACCGTTCATTTTTACTTTTTAATTCTGAGAATTTTGAATGCATTCTAATGCATTTTAATTTTAAAATATCTTTGTAAATACAAATCATATGAGGATAATTTTTTTTACAGAAAGCTGGCTTGGATGGTAATGAGTCTGTATATATTTTTATTTTGTCGTTAATTATTGTAATGTTTTAGTTTTAGCCAGTCACACACGCACATACAGACAACTGCCCTTTATATATTTATAGATAATGAAAGCAATAACAATTAAAGTCAAAACCCAATCACATGATTTCTTAATTTTAAATCAATTTTTCTTGTTTCCAGAAATCCTCACAAACAAAATACTGCAATCCTCTGGCTACTCTATCACTATTTCCATGGAAAGTGTTTAGACAAGAAGACATTCCTTAATTCCACCAACACTAACCCACCCAGCCCATACCATTATAGTGAACTCTGTCCTCATTCCCTTTATATTCTACTGTATGTAAGTTCCACTTGGGCAGCTTCTTCTCATAAATCATTACTTTGTGGAATTAACTCCAAAGAAGATGCTTCCCCAATCAATACAATCTTACCCTGTTCAAGTCTGGAATCAAATGTTATCTTCCCCTCACATCCCCATAAACAGTGTCTCTTATTCTGTAACCATACTACCTTGAGTGGCTTTTGGGCCTTGTCCAGTGTGAACATTATTGAAAAAAAAATGCCCCTTCAGAATGAATGTGATCACAGCCCTCTAGAGATTCCTTTCTTATTATTATCTATGAATTACCATCTATTCTTGAGAAATATAGTGGAGTGCTTCCTACCATTTAAGGCTGGAGAGTCAAGTCTATCCTGCTATTTAACCTATAGCTTAGGCATGGAGCATTCCTGACTTTCCCAAAGGCATTAGCTTGAAAGTGAATGCAAGAGACTTTTCTAGAATGTGAACATTTTTTGTACCAATATCTGTTAAACTTCTCTCTCTAGTTTAACTACATCAAGAATGTTATGGTATAATTACCAACAGAAGAATTTAATTTCTCTGGTTTATATTTTAAATAATTTCACATATACTTTAAGCATATTAGATGGCTGAGATTAGATACCATCATTATGTATAATAATAAAATAGCTGTGTATTTAGGTAGCAATACTTCTCTCATACATATTTCATTAAATATGACTGCCAAGGTACCGCTGTTATGATTTTTATTGTGATTACTGAAAAGAACAATTATAGCTAATGAACTTGAGAAACCTATTTTCCTAAAAACTGTTTTAACTCCTTCCCTGGTGTAAATGTGTATATACATTTTTACTGAAAATATCTTTTTCAGACATGGACAAATAAACACATCCAAAACATAATGTTCAGAAACCAGCTACAGACTTCTTTATATGTCAATCTCAATTCTTTATATGCCCTTCTGAACTTAAAATGAGTTCAGTTGTCAACTTTGCAGAGGTGTTAGCCACTGCTCAGGTACTTCAAGGTGCCTCAGTTTCTTAGTTACTATATTAAAAACAAATAAAAAATTTGTCTGAAAATGAAACATTTTTCCTAAAATAATTGGTAAGGAAGGAGTTAAAAAGATAGATTTTGTAAATTTCAATTGATAGTAGTATTGATTGGTCACTGAATAGCAAATCTTTCATTATATGGAAATAGCTAATATTACCATTTCCATAATGATTACCACTTCTTGACAGAAGGCCATCTCTTCAGTCTTTGATTGTGTGGTCATGAGCAGGTAAGTGACTCAAAAGACTCCCAACTGATTATTGCAAGGTCCTCTGCATATATAACAAACAAGAGACTTGTGTATGGTCTTTGAGTTTATTGGATTTTTACACACTTTCATGTGACTTTTCAGACCTGCTGATGACCTACATATTTTATCACAAAACTAAAATAAATTCCCTATACATCATTCTTGATGGTTGCCAACTTAATCAGTCTGGGATTGTTTACCTCATGAGATTTTAGATGACTAGTAAATCCCACTGACAATAAGATCCTACCACAGATGTTACATGTATTCTCAGGCTGGAGATTATCTAGAACTGAAGTCATGTATTGCTTTCTAAAAGCCTGTTTCAAGATTGCATGATCATACATATATGCACACACATATATCCAAACAGGTTTGGTTAAATTCAACTGACAAGATCTCTTTTTTATTGTACTTTTCCAATTATTAAATAAGATGTTGTACATTGGGATCAAAATTATGGTTAAACTGTATGAATTTCATGTTTTATTTGGTTTTGTTCAAGTACTTCCGACTGTCTCACTCATTATGAAGAACTATATCTTGTCTTCCTGGTATTTTTTAGAGTTAAGGAGTCCTTGAAATGTATATGAAATATTTACTATGGATAGAAAATAATAATAATAAATATATAGATTTGATATATGGATGAGTTCCTGCTGCCTAAATAAACTTTATATATAAGGAAAGTAAACTATCTACACTATCCCCAAATTACATAAACTTTCAAAATTAATATTGAATGTTTCCACAAGAAATGGTTATTAAAAAATTATTTATGTAGAAAATGAAATACAATTTTCCTAACTCAAGAAAACACAAGAACACACAAGAATTAACAAGGGCAGTGAATGTCTGAAAAACCAAATGTCAAAATTGCTACAGCTGA